AAATTCGTGCACGTAGGTGAAACGTGCGGCGGGGGCTGCTTCGTTAAAGGTCACTTTCTGTTGCCAGCAGGTGGCGCTATGACTGTGGGTGAATGTCGGCATGTACATGTGTTCAGGGCGGGACTCTCATCCTACATGTACAGTTTGGTCCGGATGTGAGCATGTACACTGAAGTTACAACAACTTCCTGTTTCATTGCGAATCATCGACGCCACGGACACGCCCATTGACGAAAACGCGCAAATAGCACAACTTTTCATCGTCAATGCCTTTAGAAGGCACAGCAGAAATTTGAGGTCGATCCGACTAAATCCCTAGGAGGAGTTCGTTAAAGTACGAAGTATGTAAATCATCCAAAAATGGCCATAAAATTCAAAATGGCCGACTTCCTGTTGACTTTAGGCTATGGGTTCTTGAGGCTTTTTTGTGCGTCTTGATACGATACATGTCCCCAGAAAATTTCGTACATGTAGGTTGAACGTGAACGAGGGGCTAATCATTTCCAATTTTCTAGGTGGCGCTAGCGAGTCATTTTGCCACGCCCATGTGCGAAACTTGTAGAATACGAAATTTTTCACCGGTTCTGACATGTTTGCAAATTTTGGTGAGTTTTCGAGTATGTTTAGGCCATGTCATTTGGGCCTACTTTGCAGAAAAAAAAAAAAAAAAAAAATAAAAATAAAAAAAAAAAAATTAAAGCTGCAAGCAGCGTTGGGCGGGCCCTCGCACTTGTAAGCGCGTGAGCCGGCCGAGTTGCACATTCTGGAGCTCTGCCGGTGCGGCTGTCAATTTCCTACGCGGTTCCGACACCGCATGAATGTGCTATATGTCAGTTCCTGTGTCCCCTATGTGGAGCTACATAGCACTTGCCGCTATGAATATAAATCGGTATTGGCGTGTAGATGTCTGCGGGGTGGGAGAGTTATCAAGCACGTAAAGTTTGTTTCAGATGTGACATGTACACTGAACAATAATGTACACAAACAATAAAATAAATTCCTTGCCTTGTTGTTTATGTGTACATACAGAGGAAGAATGTGAGAACAGCACACATTTCATCGTTACTGTGTGTTAGAGCATGGGAGAACAGTGGATACTTTTAATACAGCCCACACCCCTAATACTGTGTAACTATAACAAGTAGAGAACAGAAGAAAAAGATGTTCTTTCTTTACAACTGTCTGCATAGCTTATTCATATTGTGTAATGAATGAAAATAAATAGGCCTACTAGGCTCCTCTCTACTTTGACATTTAAGATTAGCTTGTTTGATCCACCTTCATACACATGTGACATTACTGTACAACTTGAGAAAGGTGAGTTGTTTTCTGCTCCAGCCTGCCTAAAAGAAAAGCGTTTTTGGGATGAAATGGACTTTATTAGCTGCTGCAGTGCAGGATGAACTCAGAATAGACCCATTTCTCACCTTATTATTCTAAATCATGCAACGAAGAAGAAGAAATGCATAAGAAATCCTGGGACAAAATCTGTCCACAAATACTGTACAGCATGTAGTCTGATGAACAAGACTTGTGTTATAGCTGACTTGGGCAGTGAAATGTTTAATTTTTTAATTCATGTGGTCATAGTTGTCCACAACTCAAATCAGAATATAAGAAGAAATGTTTTATACCACCTCAAGAAGGCTTCCTATCAGAAAGGTAGGAAGGTATTTCAAATGTACAACTGCAGTACTTAAATCTAAGTAAAGTAATTTCCCTGACATTTTTGTGTTACTTTACTTTTAATAGACCCATGTAAGAGGTTTTATACTTCCTGTGAGTATAATCCAATCAATCTTATTTTCATACTGTATATCCGTTGTGTAATTTGATAAATTGTGTTGTATGTCGTGCTCGCATCTCAGAGAAGACTCTGACTGCAACATGCGTCTTTGTAAAGAGAGAAACAGACAGAAAAAGTCTCTAACTCTGCCTGTCAGCTCGCTCTGCTCCGTTAAAACTGAATTTACCATACAGAATTGAATACGAGTGCACTCCAGATTTAGCTGCAGCCAGCTGACCGTGTGCTTCTCCCTATACCGCAGTTCTGTGTCCATGCATGCAGCAAACTGAAAGCACTGTCTGTCGGTGCTTCTACGTGAAAAGAGAAGGAAGACATTGCTGGTAGTATTGTCTTCAGAGTTGTTAAACACCTCAGCGCACTGAAGGAAGCCATCTGACTGTGTGAGGGGCAAGATCGTTGATGTCTGCAGGCAGAGTAGGAGCTCTCCTGTCTGACTGGTCCACCAATAGCAGAGAAGATGACCCCTTGAGACACAGCCCCTCCTCATTTGCATAATGAGGCAGAAATGCATACAAAAATTTAAGACAGGCAGAAATAAATACCATGGGTGAAAATAAATAAGGTAAATAAATACAAAGGAAGAATAAAACAGACAAAAATATTAAAACACACACATAAATAAATACATTAAAAAAATTAGTAATAAATAAAGTTGAATAAACAAATAAGGTAATTATAACAAAGGTGAATAAGTAAAGGCACTAATTAAAATATATACATTTATGTCTCCTTGTATAATTTAATTACTACCTACATTTATTTATTTACTTAATTTTTTTGTGTATTTAATTGGATGCTTATTTATTTATTGAGCATTTATTTATTTCTGTATTTATTTCTGACTGTGTCAGGATCGGTCCTCCATAGCGGGGTGGGAGAGTTATCAAGCACGTAAAGTTTGGTTCAGATGTGAGCATGTACACTGAAGTTACAACAACTTCCTGTGTCATGGCGAAGACTTGATCTCTGACGCCACGCCACGGACACACCCATTGACGAAAACTCGCAAATAGCACAACTTTTCATCTTCAATGCCTTTAGAAGGCACAGCACAAATTTGAAGTCGGTCGGACTAAATCCCTAGGAGGAGTTCGTTAAAGTACGAAGTGTGTAAATCATCCAAAATTTGACGTAAAATTCAAAATGGCCGACTTCCTGTTGATTTTAGGGCATCGCTCCAAGAGGCTTTTTTGTGCGTCTGGACAAGATACACGTACCACAGAAAATTCGTGCACGTAGGTAAAACGTGCGGCGGGGGCTGCTTCGTTAAAAGTCACTTCCTGTTGCCAGTAGGTGGCGCTATGACTGTCTGTGAATGTGAGCATGTACATGTGTTCAGGGCGGGACTCTCATCCTACATGTACAGTTTGGTCCAGATGTGAGCATGTACACTGAAGTTACGACAACTTCCGTGTCATGGCGAAGAGCTGATCTTTGACGCCACGCCACGGACACGCCCATTGACGAAAACTTGCAAATAGCACAACTTTTCATCTTCAATGCCTTTAGAAGGCACAGCACAAATTTGAGGTCGGTCGGACTAAATCCCTAGGAGGAGTTCGTTAAAGTACGAAGTGTGTAAATCATCCAAAATTTGACGTAAAATTCAAAATGGCCGACTTCCTGTTGATTTTAGGGCATCGCTCCAAGAGGCTTTTTTGTGCGTCTGGACAAGATACACGTACCACAGAAAATTCGTGCACGTAGGTAAAACGTGCGGCGGGGGCTGCTTCGTTAAAAGTCACTTCCTGTTGCCAGCAGGTGGCGCTATGACTGTCTGTGAATGTCAGCATGTACATGTGTTCAGGGCGGGACTCTCATCCTACATGTACAGTTTGGTCCAGATGTGAGCATGTACACTGAAGTTACGACAACTTCCGTGTCATGGCGAAGAGCTGATCTTTGACGCCACGCCACGGACACGCCCATTGACGAAAACTTGCAAATAGCACAACTTTTCATCTTCAATGCCTTTAGAAGGCACAGCACAAATTTGAGGTCGGTCGGACTAAATCCCTAGGAGGAGTTCGTTAAAGTACGAAGTGTGTAAATCATCCAAAATTTGACGTAAAATTCAAAATGGCCGACTTCCTGTTGATTTTAGGCTATGGCTCCAAGAGGCTTTTTTGTGCGTCTGGACAGATACACGTACCACAGAAAATTCGTGCACGTAGGTGAAACGTGCGGCGGGGGCTGCTTCGTTAAAGGTCACTTTCTGTTGCCAGCAGGTGGCGCTATGACTGTGGGTGAATGTCGGCATGTACATGTGTTCAGGGCGGGACTCTCATCCTACATGTACAGTTTGGTCCAGATGTGAGCATGTACACTGAAGTTACAACAACTTCCTGTTTCATTGCGAATCATCGACGCCACGGACACGCCCATTGACGAAAACTCGCAAATAGCACAACTTTTCATCGTCAATGCCTTTAGAAGGCACAGCAGAAATTTGACGTCGATCCGACTAAATCCCTAGGAGGAGTTCGTTAAAGTACGAAGTGTGTAAATCATCCAAAAATGGCCATAAAATTCAAAATGGCCGACTTCCTGTTGACTTTAGGCTATGGGTTCTTGAGGCTTTTTTGTGCGTCTTGATACGATACATGTCCCCAGAAAATTTCGTACATGTAGGTTGAACGTGAACGAGGGGCTAATCATTTCCAATTTTCAAGGTGGCGCTAGCGAGTCATTTTGCCACGCCCATGTGCGAAACTTGTAGAATACGAAATTTTTCACCGGTTCTGACATGTTTGCAAATTTTGGTGAGTTTTCGAGTATGTTTAGGCCATGTCATTTGGGCCTACTTTGCAGAAAAAAAAAAAAAAAAAAAAAAAAAATATAATCCGAGCAGATTCAATAGGGACCTCGCACGGTCGTGCTCGGGCCCTAATAATCCGAGCAATTTCAATAGGGACCTCGCACGGTCGTGCTCGGGCCCTAAAAATAATAATCCGAGCAATTTCAATAGGGACCTCGCACGGTCGTGCTCGGGCCCTAAAAAGGAGGTGATGAGAAGTTAAGAAGGGAAGAACGAGATTTAGGAGGGAGGGAAGACAGAGACGAGGAAAGGAGGCATGTAGGATTGAGGAAGGATGGATGAAAGGAGTGAAGGAAGCATCAGAGGTTAACACTGAAAGCTATCTGTTTATTTTCGGAGCTAGCTGTGCTAACGCTAACCCCCCCCCCCACGTTACCATGGAGCGTAGAATTTCACCAGCATGGTCTCGTGCTCCGTTGCCAGGTAGTCGAAATCCGCGTCACCGAGCTCGAGCACGTCTCTGCGCGAAGACACCGCGGCGGGAAAACAAGACAACAGCGCGAACGTGACGGCGGGAAGAAGGCGGACAGCGGCCGCCATGACGGAGAGAAACGGACCGGGATTCAGGTGGAAAAACGACACAATGCTGAGGAGACGGTTCACACCGGAGACCCTCCGCACCGCAGGCACCGTGAAGCTACCGGGAGTGACGGACGTTTCCGCTCGGACATTCCAGAATAAAAGCCTTGTGTGGGACATTAATCACATATTTAAAGCGGAAGAGTGAACAAATTATCGACCTTTAAAGGAAACTCAAACCGTAGTAACATTTCGCTCCTCCTGACACAACGGAGACACTACCCGACGCATCTTTGTTTCATGTTATATGATGTGCTTTTAATGTGAAGGCGAGCTTCCTGCCTCCCTGCAGCTACCTTCACCATCTCGCGCCTCTCTGCAGCTGTCAGCTGGAAGGCGGGACGTGAAGAGAAAATACCGGAAAGTGGCTCTCTGATTGGTTCACAGCGGTTAGACGTGATGTGTGTAGCCGTGTCATTGGTCCAGGAACCTGTCAATCACAATGCGTCACCACCGCCCTCCTGTGGGTGATGCTTTTAATAAAGGTTTCTGCCTTTTATTGTGTTTTATATATAAACTCAGAACTTTATTTCAACTCACTTTAATTTCACATAAATTCCATTCAACATGTTTTTATACACTTTCATCTCTCTCAGTTGTACAGCATTATATTTTCTGATGTACGTCAAGCAGAGAAACAAAACATTGAGCTGAATTTCTAATAAACAAAATATAAACATTCAATAACTTCCTGAACTAAAATTACCTGAGAAAGTTTGATTTGGTTTCTCTGTCTGCACTCAGTAACCTCCAGATTCCTGATCTGTCATGTTTTTAATGTGTAACATCTGATAAACAATCTGACACCATCTATGAAACTGCTGCTGTAAGTTAACTGCTTATATTTTTAAAAGAAAATGCTGCAGGTTAGCGGCTTACGTCACATTTCATCAGCTCTGTGTTTCTGCATTTTTTCCTGTTTCCTTATTTAATGACGTTAAATGTTTTTTACAAACTGTGACTGAAAAACATTGATTTATTTATTTCTTCAGTTCTGCTTTTCATTTCTCACAAACCTGCAGATGAACTTTGTTTCCAACAGAAACCAGTGAAACGGTCTGAAAAACGTAAAAATGTTTTATTGAAGCAGTCGACCTTCATCCATTCATATTCAATATGAATAAACAAACATTTCCTATAAAAAGCTTGACGGAACGTCACGAACATAAGTCCGCTGGGAACCATGGGATGGATCAGGTGGTGCATCATGGGAAGACTAAACCTCCGAACAGAAACAGATTTACAGCTGCAGAAAGAATAACATCCGTTTTCATTTTCAGTGCAAAAGTTTGATGTTTGAAAATGTGAAGGGAAACGCAGAGTTCACGTGGCGCTCCACAGGACCAGCAGCGTCTCTGGTTCTCAGCAGGGGGGCCTTGCAGAACCCGATCTGGTGTTCCATCAGGTGTGAGAAAACTAAAGGCAGGAAGTTCAAAGCAGCAGAAGAAGAGTTCAGCTTCTCGTCACTTCGTTTCTTTTAGTGTTTCCTTCTTGTTTCTGACCTCGCTGTGACATCACAGAGGCCACGTCCCCTGCCACAGCGGGCGGGGTCTCTGTGACATCAGCTCAATCAAAAATAAATAATCATTAAATACGAAGGCCGACCATCGTTCTAGATCACATCGAGAGCTCTAGAGTCCTGACGGATTCTACAGATCCGGATGTTCTTCTGGATCTCTGGAGAACCCAGAGCGAAGGGAGACCAGCTTTAGTGAACAGCGGAGCTCCGGAGAACTGGATCCTGATCAGCTGCCGTCCCAACACCGGCAGAAGGTCAGAGGAACTAGCCCAGGGCTGCTTCCTGCGTGCCGACTGGCCGGCTCTCCGAGGACTTTTGGAAGGCGGAGTGGAAAAGATTCATCAGGTCGTGGAAACGGAGACTCACCTGGAGGAAACAGAGGATCCGTCTTTAGGTTTAACGGTCAACATTATTTAGTCTAGTAGCTTCACTGATTATTGAACTGGGCTAGAAAAACAGAGTAACGGAAACACGTGTCGGTAACTCGAGTTCAAACACACTAAAACTAATATATGTTTGGTTTCCCCTCAAAGAAAGTTTTCTAACAAACGCACGAAGCAGACGACTACAGCTGGCAGGAAAACACTGTAAGGCACGTTTATCTGTACATTTCAGCAACAAGGCAATTCAAAGTGCTTTACATAAAACGTGAAAGCACCACAGGGAAACTGGAAAAGTAAAACTCATTATAAAAAAAGTTACAGTGAAACTTACTAATCTACGGCTTTCATTTAATTAAAGGCAGCCGTAAAAAGAAAAGTCTTCAGTCTTAATTTAAAAGAACAGTTTCAGCAGACCTGCAGTTATCTGGGAGTTTGTTCCAGATATACGGAGCATAATAACTGAACGCTGCTTCTCCTTGTTTAGTTTTGACTCTGGGGACAGAAAGCAGACCTGATCCCAGACGACCTGAGAGGTCTGGATGGTTCATAATGAAGCAGAAGATCAGAAATTTATTTTGGCCCTAAACCATTTAGTGCTTTATAAACTAACAGCAGGATTTTGAAATCAATTCTTTGACAGACAGGAAGCCAATGTAAAGACCTCAGAACTGGACTGATGTGATCCACCTTTTGGTCTTAGTGAGGACTCGAGCAGCAGCGTTCTGAATCAGCTGCAGCTGTCTGATGGATTTCTTAGGGAGCCTGAAGATAAATGCATGGATAAGCTTTTCCAGGTCCTGCTGAGTCCTTTAATCCTTGATATATTCTTCAGGTGATAGTAGGCTGACTTTGTAATTGTCTTAATGTGGCTCCTCAAATTCAGGTCTGAGTCCATGACCACACCAAGATTTCTGGCTTGATTTATGGTTCTTAACATTACAGATTGAAGTCGAGCGCTGACTTTAAATCGTTCCTCATGGGCTCCAAAGACAATAACTTCAGTTTTATCTTTGTTTAATTGAAGAAAAGGGCCGCAGCATAAAGCCTTACCTAGAACAAGTTTAGACTTCATACCAGTACCATGAAAAATGGGGCGGTGATGGTGCAGTGGATAAGACACGTGCCTTTGGTGTGAGAGACCCGGGTTCAATTCCCCACTATGACCCTGAGCAAGGCGTGCAACCTCTGACACGTACAGCAGCTGTAAGTCTCTTTGGATAAAAGCGTCAGCTAAATGAATAAAATATCTGCTGTCCGCAGGTTTTTCTGAGCGTCTGTCTCAGCGTGTTTTTTCTAAATCAGCCCCACCCCCTGGTGGCAGGCGGGCGGCGGCTGCTGCGTCGCTCCGTATCAGCAGGCAGCTCCACGCAGACGTGCGTTTCTGCTGGTAGATCATGAACTTCCTCCTTAAAGCTGGATGTCGTTATTTGCAGAATCTTATTGGCTACAGGAAGCGCCAGTCGTCGGCTCTATTGGCTCGGCCTACCCGGGAAATATCGGGGGCCGGCCCTTCCTCGCAGCGCCGGCTCTCGTTGGCCGCTGTAGGCTGTGAAAGGGACGCGTGAGCTCCTATTGGCTCGGATCAGCAGTCAGCGGAAAGGTCAGAGTTCAGCCGATAATCTGAATACAAGCTGTCGTAGCCGTTTACATTCAGATCAGAGTTATTCCGGTTATAAAGACAAACGAGCCGCGTCTGCCGGTGAATCTGAAGCGGTGCGGCAGCCGTCCCTGAGGATTTACTGATGGAATCGTGTGTTTTGGACTAAATGTTTTACTGGACTGGATCGTCTGGACCTTTGACAACGTTTCTGTTGGAATATGATCGATGGCTGGATTAAGTTACTGTGAGGCTTCACAGGGGAGTCGCCTCACTTTTGCCGTCCCGGCTGGTCTGACAGAGGATTGAGATTGGACCCGCTGTGGTGACGGTTTGCACTGGTCAGTCAGACGTTGGATCATCTGGAGCAGCTGTGGGCAGACTGAGAGCTGCCGCCAGGACCTGTTACCACCAGGAATGTTAAGAGGTTACAAACTGCAGCCAAACAACTTGGTGCAGCTTAAACGAAACGTTAGCTTTCTAAGCGTTCGACCAGCCAATAAGTTCAGTTAGCTAAAAAGCCGCAGACGTAACCTTCTTTATAGCTGCTGTAGAGACGGATGAAGTTGGATGTTGTGGTCGTGTCACTGATTTCTGAGCTGCACGCCACTGTTCTTTTCTTCCTACCGTCATCGACAACATAATCCTTGAAAGTCTGTGTTGTACCACACGTTATACGTAAAGGTCTTTTTACACGCCGCTGGTTACGGAGATCTGGACCGCTGTGTGAAGCAAACGAATGCAAATATGAACACCAAGTCTGTTTTAGTCAAGCACGTCTCAAGTCTTCAAATTTGCGACTCGAGTCCCCGCCCCTGTGAATTACTACTGGATGGAGTCGTAGCAGCAGAGCTGAAGCGCCCTGCGCCATCTCTGGATATAACACCAGATAATACCAGAAATACAGACTGGACCAGTTCCTTTGTTTCTGTTGTTCTCTGAAGACATTTGGGTTTAAGATCAAAAGATCAGTAGAGTTCAGAATCTCAGCTTTTATTTCCTGGTATTCACGTCTAGATAAGTTAAATAACTCAGGACAAACCACCTTTTGTTTGAACCCGCCCATTTTACAAGTGAGAAAACTACTGGAACATGTCCCAGATGTTTCTTGTTGCCCAGCTGTTGCCTTTTAGGCTGACTGTCCAAACATTAACTAGCTCTGCATGACTAGTCTCAGTTTCCATCCTTGGTTCAAACCTATAAAGACTGCATTTCCTGTTAAAGTGGACAAACCAGCATGAAGACCAGAGAGCTGTCTGTGGGAGAAAAGGACAATCGAGCAGAGCCGTCGGACAAACATTGAGCAGAGCTGTCAGACAAGGACAAACATCGAGCAGAGCCGTCGGACAAGGACAAACATCGAGCAGAGCCGTCAGACAAACATCGAGCAGAGCCGTCGGACAAGGACAAACATCGAGCAGAGCCGTCAGACAAACATCGAGCAGAGCCGTCAGACAAGGACAAACATCGAGCAGAGCCGTCAGACAAACATCGAGCAGAGCCGTCAGACAAGGACAAACATCGAGCAGAGCCGTCGGACAAGGACAAACATCGAGCAGAGCCGTCGGACAAACATCGAGCAGAGCCGTCGGACAAACATCGAGCAGAGCCGTCGGACAAACATCGAGCAGAGCCGTCAGACAAACATCGAGCAGAGCCGTCGGACAAGGACAAACATCGAGCAGAGCCGTCAGACAAACATCGAGCAGAGCCGTCGGACAAGGACAAACATCGAGCAGAGCCGTCGGACAAGGACAAACATCGAGCAGAGCCGTCGGACAAACATCGAGCCGTCGGACAAACATCGAGCCGAGCCGTCGGACAAACATCGAGCAGAGCCGTCGGACAAACATCGAGCAGAGCCGTCGGACAAACATCGAGCAGAGCCGTCGGACAAACATCGAGCAGAGCCGTCGGACAAGGACAAACATCGAGCAGAGCCGTCGGACAAGGACAAACATCGAGCAGAGCCGTCGGACAAACATCGAGCAGAGCCGTCGGACAAACATCGAGCAGAGCCGTCGGACAAACATCGAGCAGAGCAAGCACAACAATGTGGAACGTCCTGAAAAAGAAAGAGGGGGGTCATTGTAAAGCGCTGCGGGAGCATTTAGGTGGCGTTTCATGGACGAAGGAAACTTATTTAAGACCTGGAACCCTGGAGTGAACATGACTGAGCGTCTGAAGCCCCGCCCCCCTCCTCACCTGCTGGGCGGTCTTGTTCCCCAGCTGGGCGGAGACACGTCTGAACGTTTTCCGATTGGCTCCTCTCTGCTGACAGGCGGTCAGGATGGCGCGGTCCGCCTCCCTGAAACAGGAAGAGGTCAGAGTGGTTCAGCTGCTAGTCATGCTAGCTAGCATCAGTGCGTTCAAACTTTAATCAGACAGACACTGTGACGTTATCAAAACCAATTTTAATTCTCTAAAGACACAACAGGAAGTTTCATCACATCCTGTCAGCAGCTGATCTGGTATCAGCGGCGTGTTTGTGTTCTGACCGGGTCCATACGACGACTTTCTCTCCGGTTGACGTCATCGAGATGTTTTTGGCGCAGACCGGTCGCTCTGACTCCGCCCCTTCCTCTCGGTCACTTCCTGTCTCGCACTCTTCAGACGCCTGGCGGTCGACTCTCTTCCCGTTCCCATCAGGAGGATTCTGGGAAACGCAGTCCCTCTCCGCGGTCTCGGAGCTGGTTGCTACGGGTGACGACTGGCCGTGAAGCTGCTGGAAAAACTCCCAGAATTCCTCCTGCAGGCCCGGGTGGCGTTTGAGGAGCGAGGAGACCTGAAGGAGAAACACAGCGAGGTTTGTGAGCGCTGTGACAGGAAGTGGTTCCATCAGTGGTAATAAAGACAGTAGAAGAAGAAGAGCTCGCCGACCAGAAACAAAAGCAAGACCTCCAGAAACCCTCAGAGAGAGAAGAAAAGCAATAATGAGAACTGGTGATTGGCTGGGGGTCAAAGGTCATCCTCTACCTTGTCCATGTCATCGGGTGGGGGGGCGGCGCTTCCTTGCAGCACCGACACCACCTGCTGGTAAGGGGCGGAGCCTTCTCCCAGGCTCTGCCCCAGTCGCCTCAGAAACCGCCGACTGCGTTCAAACAGCTGCTGCTCCGGCAGCTGACAGAAGAAACCACAGAAGAAGAGTTAGTTCGGTCTGCACCTGAGTGACATCATGCCGTGATGTCAGAGTAACGTTACCCACCAGTCCGCAGCGGCGGGCCTGTCCTTGGTTCAGGAAGGCGGCGAAGTCTCTGAGCAGCTGAGGCCACGGCTGCAGCACACAGCTCAGGCCGTCATACAGAGCCTTCGGGGACCCCAGGGGCCCCGCTGCCGAGAACTGATCCAGCACCTGCAGCAGCTGCTCTGAGAGGCCCTGTGACCCCTGCACCGCATCACACACCTGCACAGGAAACAGGAAGTGCAGACAAACATCTGGCGTGTTGAAGAAACAACAGTAACAACAGGAAGTCACAATGAAACATGTTGTGATGTCAGAGGTCTTACTCTGAGGAGATAATCCTGAGCGAAGACCTCCTCCTCAGACCCCCTCTGGTCCTCAGACCCCCTCTTGTCCTCAGACCCCCTCTGGTCCGCTTCCTGCACACAAACAAACCTGATCCTGAATCATCCTGAAGCTCCAAACTGGAAGCAGAGTTAGAGGAGCAGCAGCTGCTCGGAGACACGGAGGCTGCTGTTCCCCGGCTAAACTCTGGTCTCCAAGTAAAGGTCACACGTGATCACAGAGTTCAACGACGCGGCAGGTCGGTGGGGAATTAAATATAAACGTGTCGCTGTCAGCGTAAACAAACACAGCAGCTGGAACCGTTCAAAGCCACCGCAGCGCGACGAGGCCCGTTATTCTCAGCGGCCGGCGCCGCGCCACGGCGGTTTGTCGCTGCGTCGAGCAACACGCGCCGCACGCCGAGCTCGCGCGCTCGCTGGACCCGGCTTCCACGCTGATAATGGCTGGAAGAACGTCGTCCTCTGGAGAGTACCGACTCCCGGCGTTCCAGATATTAATCACACTCAGGAGAGACGTTCTCATCATTCACACTGAAACCTACACGTATGGATGAGAGTTGATGACAGTAACAGTTTCCCCTCAATATTCCTCTCATGTTAAGAATACTTACATTTTATAGAAATCTAATTGTTAATGTCATTAAAAATCAACCTGAGTCATTACTGGTGTTGTTAAATTAATGGATTATAGTCGTGAAACGTGATTATTCCTCAGACTGCGATCGGACCAGCAAAGCCTGGAATCGCTGCGTCCCTCGTTACAAGTCGCGGTGGATCTTTTCCAGCAGCAGTGAACACACAGGGTGCACGTTGGTTTCGGCTGTTGATAGGCTGCGTCAGACAGAGAGAGGCGGGGCCAGACGGTTTTGTGTGCCGGTGTTTACCTGAGCTAGCTGACCCTGCCCGCTGTATCGCAAGCTTCCCCCGCCGGCTCTTTTTCTAGAAGTTACCAACCGATGCATCCTGGGTAAAATGGACGTGCCAAGAACACATCCAGGAATCTGAACCGTGAACCATGTTTCACAAGAGCACAAGAAGGCTGAGAACAGCCTATTGTATTTGACTGACCTGCGGCAGGAGGAGGGACTCTGCTGCTGCTCTGCAAGTCACTTCCTGTTCACTCTCTGACTCCGCCTCCTCGAGTTCGGCCAGGTCGTCGTCAAGGGCAACACTTCCTGTGGAGCTGGATGAGGATTCAGACAGAGCCAGGAAGACCTCGCTCTCCTCCTCTTCCTCTTCTTCCTCCCTCTCCTCCCCTTGTTCCTCCTCCTCCTCATCGTTCATCCTGATGACATCATTGCTCTCATGCACCTCCATCTGAGAGGGGGCGGGATCTTCAGGAGGAGGAGGAGCCTCTTCATTGCTCCTACTCTTCAGGCTGGTGAGAATCCGATAGTGACGTCTGATTCGCTCTCTTGTCGTCATGGAGTCGGATGAGCTGGTGATGACGTCAGCGAGGGGGTCGGTCCTGGAAAGGAGGAAGCGGCGGAGGAGGACTTGGGGAGGACTGAGATCTCGGGGGCAACGAGGTGGGGGGAGGAGTCCACCTGGGTGTCAGGGAGGGGGAGGAGTCAGGGGGAGTCAGGGGGAGGGGCTCCTGCAGCAGCACAAAGCCAATGCGTCTGAAGTCCAGGTTTTTGGGAAGGCGGTGTGGGTATCTGGTCCCGGGGGGGAAGCTGTAGGTGTTTGAGGCAGAGCGGAGGAAGGTTAGCTGACTATGACGAGGTCCACCTGAGCTGCGAGGAGGCGGGGCCTCGGGGGCAGAGCCAGACGGGCTGTTATAGCGTTTGATGGTCGGGTATATGACTGGTAGACTCCTCTGTGGGAGTACAACAAAACTGATTAATACTTATTGATCTTTGATCGACAGACGTTTACAGAACCTACTGCACATCATGTTCTCTCATTACTGATCCAACAGGGGACTATTCCTGTCAGGGATCGGGACCGGCGACTACTGTCAGAGATCGGGACCGGCGACTACTGTCAGAGATCGGGACCGGCGACTACTGTCAGAGATCGGGACCGGCGACTACTGTCAGAGATCGGGACCGGCGACTACTGTCAGAGATCGGGGCCGGCGACTACTGTCAGGGATCGGGCCGGCGACTAGGGATCGGGGCCGGCGACTACTATCAGGGATCGGGACCGGCGACTACTGTCAGAGATCGGGACCGGCGACTACTGTCAGAGATCGGGACCGGCGACTACTGTCAGAGATCGGGACCGGCGACTAGGGATCGGGGCCGGCGACTACTGTCAGGGATCGGGGCCGGCGACTACTGTCAGGGATCGGGGCCGGGACTACTATCAGGGATCGGGACCGGCGACTACTATCAGGGATCGGGACCGGCGACTACTATCAGGGATCGGGACCGGCGACTACTGTCAGGGATCGGGGCCGGCGACTAGGGATCGGGGCCGGCGACTACTATCAGGATCGGGCGGCGGCGACTACTGTCAGAGATCGGGGCCGGCGACTACTGTCAGAGATCGGGGCCGGCGACTACTGTCAGAGTCGGGGCCGGCGACTACTGTCAGAGTCGGGACCGGCGACTACTGTCAGAGATCGGGACCGGCGACTACTGTCAGAGATCGGGACCGGCGACTACTGTCAGAGATCGGGACCGGCGACTACTGTCAGGATCGGGACCGGCGACTACTGTCAGAGATCGGGACCGGCGACTACTGTCAGGATCGGGGCCGGCGACTACTGTCAGGGATCGGGGCCGGCGACTACTGTCAGAGATCGGGACGGCGACTACTGTCAGGGAGGGGCCGGCGACTACTGTAGGGATCGGGCCGGCGACTACTGTCAGGGATCGGGGCCGGCGACTACTGTCAGGGATCGGGGCCGGCGACTACTGTCAGATCGGGACCGGCGACTACTGTCAGGGATGGACCGGCGACTACTGTCAGGGATCGGGGCCGGCGACTACTGTCAGGGATCGGGGCCGGCGACTACTGTCAGGGATCGGGGCGGCGACTACTGTCAGGGATCGGGCCGGCGACTACTGTCAGAGATCGGGGCCGGCGACTACTGTCAGGGATCGGGGCGGCGACTATGTCAGAGATCGGGGCCGGCGACTACTGTCAGAGATCGGGGGCGGCGACTACTGTCAGGGATCGGGAAAGTGTATTTTTTACCCACCAAACAGCTTCAGCTCACCAAAAGGAGCGGAACTTGCTTACAGATGGCGTACGCACAGTTTTATAAGTCTGAGTATTTTTGCCGTACGCCTTTTTTGGCTTTTGGACGCACGTACACTTTTAGTGAGTTTTATAAATGAGACCCCAGAGGGACACCACTGTCGGGGATCAGGACTGGTCCATGTTTTGTTCTGAGGGCGTCCTGTAGGTCGACCACAACAATAAGTACTTGAAGCGTTGCCACATCACTTACCACC